CAAACCCCAGACAAGGCTTTTTAAAATGTATAAAGAACTGCAGTGTTAGGTGGTTTATTTGCAAACTGTTTTCAATGTTGTCCATTTTTATGGCACCTTTAACAATATTCTTGTTTCCAAAGTACAAAAAAAAGGTTAAAAATACTCTAGCCATAACTGAATGTCAAGCAATAAAAACAAATGACTTTTTGTGCATAGATTTAAAAGAAATACAAGTTTTAGACATCTGCATGTAAATGCAATCTCTTGTTTACTGCTTTCTTAAACTTGAGCAACTGATTCCTTATTTTACTACTAATTTAAGGACTTGTAATGGCCTGTAAACATTTTATCTTGCTCTATTCTTTCAACTCTAACTTTGTCTCTGCTTTGGAGTCATAATATTTAATGTTGTTCTGCTCACCTCTATACAGTTAACTTTTTGCTTTCATTCTGTATAGATAAAGTTATACTATAAACAGCCTACACAGTGCAAATATTTATCTGTTTATCAAATACCACATTATGCTGTATAATATCTGTTTTACTATATAATCTATTTTAGACATAGCTGTTTAGAACTAGAGTGTGCTATTTTTGTGTTTTTCTGATGTGTGGTGCTAGATAAGTTACTTTTGTGAACAAAAGCAAACAAACCCCTTTTATTCCTAGACAATACCACCTTTGGGTCTTGTTAATTTCACTGAGTATAACTATATATAAATATATATATATTTGTGTATATATATATATATACACCAACTTATGCCCAACAAGTACCTGTATCAGAGTACAAGATTTGGGACATGGTTTTCTCTTTAAATGCATAGTGTCATTATATAAATTATTCTATAGTATATTTAATAAGGAGAAAATTACTTCACCGGTACAGATACTTGATATCAAATGTAGAATTTTTTTCTACAGTATTAACATTATTAACGTTATTAAAAATGTTCTGTCCAGCTTGTTATCCTTTTGGTTACTAAAACAGTCTGCCTGTATTGTATCAGAAAAAAGAAAAACATCTAATCTGCCAGTATAAAGTAATTACAATATGCTCTCTGTCTGAAAGGGAGGTAGTTATTTGGCTTGTTGGGAGAGTTCTATCCTGTCGTTGCATCTGATATTTATAGATGTTATTCTGCTGGGTGCCTTCCTCCCTCTTCACTTTAAATAGGATCTGTACACACTCAAACTGCGGATGTTACTAGGCCATCATGCCTACACACTTAACTCCAGTTACTGTAAATAGGAATTTTCTGTAAATCTTCCATGATAGATGGATGGCTAAATTCAGTCCTTGGATATGCTTTATAAATCATGCATACATATCCAAGGACAGCCATTAGCAACTAAAGTTAATTAAGAAGTGGAATTTGCAATGTTTTGTCAGGTCTGGGGGTTTTGTTTTTATTTTTCATGTATACCTTAATTTACGTAGTCATGTACCCTTAGAAGTATTCCTATCCCCTGTTCCTTTCATTCTAGATACTGTTTTCATGTTAATTCTTAAAAACTGATGGATATCAAATATCTAACTAAGGAGGTAATTAACCTTTTAAATATTTATTAGAATTTTTCTGTAATATTACTGAATTTATAAGATCTTTAGCAAAGATTTTTGAGCAATTTATTAAATACAATGTTTCTGTTTACTGCACTTTTTGATAATAGAAGGTAGTGAATTTTAAAGCCATGGTTCTTGGCTTCCATGCACTGCTTTTATACCCTCAATCCAAGGAATATATATATATAAATAATTTTTTTTAAACAACAAACATACTGTTGTCCTAAAAATAAATACAAACTTTACTGCACCGTGGATATATTTTCATAAGTGGAATGTTTAACTGCAAACACTATCAGGACAATTATAAAAACCTCTTGAAGCTACAATCTTATTTAAATATAAGCCATGACAATTTTATTTTCCCTTGTTGATTTAAGTCACCTTTTGATATTTTCAAAGAGAAAAGGACTCGCTCTTAAATTTGTATGTACCAACCTATACATAATGCCAGGAACACGTGCTCCCTATTGTTTTAATAGTTTGATATATTTATGCAAACCATTTGGTTAACATATATTCTCCCTGTTTACTAAATGTTCAACGTAACAAGACCAGAATAAATGCTGATTATAAATATACATCAGTTTGAAGATTAAGCACATAGACTTCAAAAACCTCGTTGAGTGAGATGCTCAAATTTCTGTAAATACACACAAGTTTAAATGCAATTATACTGTACATGTAAATATATGCTGTCTGTTATGTGTACAGTATGTATAAATTCCTTTTCTAGCCACAATAAAATGTAAGCCATCAAGAGGAATACTAAAGTGGTATTGTACTAAACCTTTGCTAATGATCTTTACCCAATCACTTAACTTTTCACTTTCATGGACCTTTCCAACTCACTCTTACGATAGCCTGCTTATATTCAAGTTTGTTATTTTACTCAGTCCCGAAAAAAGTATTTTGATTCATTTTGTAAATATGACTGTAAAAATAAGAGATTTAATGTTGTCTTTTAAATACTCCAATTTTCATTCTAATATGAATGTTGTTATATTGTACTTAGAAACTGTACCTTTAATATTACATTACCTTTATTAAGTGCATTGAACACATCGATTTTAGATGTGCTTTATGTACTGTTATCCTGTAATAAAACTTCAGCTTCTAATGGAAAAATTCGTCTTAATTTTTTGTCAGTAGCATCTTGTTTGTTTTTCTGAATTGTGGTTTATTACGCTTATTCCTTAAGGAATGCACAGTTACAAAATTAGGCTGTGCTTCCAAGCACATATATCAGAGCTGTTTAGAACATACATCATGTAACGTTTGGCAGCAGGGAAACAAGAAGACTCCCGAACACCTTTTAAGCTCCCCTTTTGGCCAACAAGAGCTTTAAACCTCCTTAGAATGAATGTGGATTAATCTAGCTTCCCTCTCCTTGAAGGTGTCTTCTTGTTTGAAATCACAGTTCACTGCATCAAGTGCAAGATACAAGAAATCTGGCTTAAGGCTGTCCCAGTGACTTTGGAAATACCGCTTTGGGCTAGATCTAAACGAGGATTTGGGTATCAAAATTGATGTTTTAATACAATTTAGGCATCAAAATTCGAAGTTACAACTCCCCTCTGCTGTCCTAACTTTGGGAGCACTTAAATGCCAGCAGCACACTTGGTCATAAGACTTCAGGCATGTAACATTCTCCTTCTGCACCTACCCAGAAATGTCTCAGTCTTGACAGAGCTTTAACAGCTCAGTATTTATATGCCCGACTGTGATCTGGAAATAGGCATTAGCATTCATCTTTGAAGCACTGTATCTGGAAGCAGCTTTCACCTACAGATCAAGTCTACAAAAAAAAAGTAGTGGAAGTGATCACTTTCTTAGAACTGTAGCACTAAGTAGTGCCATTTGTTCTACAGCAGCTCCATGACTAAAGCAGTCTTCGAGACATTGAAAATCCAGATTTAATTTTCTCATCCTCAGGACTGATTCCTGCCCAATCTTGCCACTCACAGGAGAGTTCCTAACCACCAAGATACAGGTTAGGCAACAACTATGTATGTTCAAGATAAAATGGAGGAATTTTTCTGAAGTGAGAGACGAACCAAGGACTCCCATGCCTCCCCATAAGGAAAGCTAAACTGTAAGTTAGGAGGTGGTGGTTTTGACCCCCAACCATTTCACAGAATCACAGAATGGTTGATGTTGGCAGGGTCCTCCGGAGGTCACAAGCAGGGCCACCTAGAGCCAGTCGCCCAGGACCATGTCCAGCTTTTGAGTATCTCCAAGGATGGAGGCTCCACAACCTCCCTGGGCACCCTGTGCCAGTGCTCGGTCACCCTCACAGTAAAAAAGTGTTTCCTGATGTTCATGTTTATGTCATGAAGCAGAAAGACCACATGTAGGAAGTAGCACTATTTTAAAAAAAAAAAAAAAAGAAAAGGACACTGAAGGTTTTAGGGAGATGCAGACTGAAGCAGAATTTAACCTGCCACACTCACAATCTGAGGTAAGTCTTCTAATCATTCAGCTACGTAACTGTTACCATACCTGGGTTTTGAAGTAAGATTACTCCTTACAAGGCTACCTCCAGGACTGGGCTCTGGGTGGATCCAGTAGGGAGACAGAAACCTTTCTGCTTCTCTGAGATACAAACCAAAAAGGGCAGAATTAAATTCAAACAATGTCCTTAAAATTAATGTGCAAGCAAGCTAAAGGGACTCCTTTCTTTGTGGGTGTGAACATCATTCTGAATCGTCTTAGTATTTTTATGTAGTGCCCTGAGTTTCAGTTACAGGACTAGGTGCTGTGAACACTTTGATGGCTTCATGCCACAATCCTCAATTCCCTCTTCATTTCTCCATCTGTAGAGCTGTGAAGGGGACCACCTTTTTTTATAATACCACAAGCAAATGAGTTTCCATCACCTAGACCTACAGGTACTAAGAATGTTTGAATTCCACATTTTACCACATTGGGAAGCCCGATCATCAGAAAAAAGGTTTTGTGGCTCTGCCCACGTTAACAAGTGGGAAGTGAGCCAAGGAAAGTGGAAGCCCAGGAGAGGAGGGAAGCTGATAAATGCAGCAACCTCCGCAAGACACCTCAGCCCTCACACACGGCCCCAACCTCCCTCAGGGACGAGCCGCCCGGCAGAGCCCGGCCCAGCGACCTCTGCGCACCCAGGGCGGGAACTGCCGCTCGAAGCACCCAACGCCAGGTCAGGGCCACGCCTTAGTGAAGAACGTGGAGTCGGAGCGGAGCCCACAGCGCGGAGAGGCCCTAGGCACAGTTCGTCTCCTGGCGCGGCAGGACGAAGCCGGCCCTGCCACGGGCGACTGACCGCGGCGGCGGCTCCCCCGCCACAAGATGGCCGCCGCGGCCCCTCCAAGAGCTGCTCGAGCCCATGTTGCCATTGGCTGGCTCAGAACACCTGATCCCGCGCGCCGGGCGCTCTGCTATGCTGATTGGCCAACGCCGTGAGGCAGGCTCACGCGGCAGAGAGACGAGGAACCGGCGAGTACGCTTCCCCGAGGGGCCCGCCAAGATGGCGGCCAAAGGGCAGCTGCTGACCTGGTAAGCACGTTCCCCCCTCGTCCCCCTAACCTAGCACGGCGCGTCTGAAGAGCGGCGGGCGGGAAGCCGTCCCCTCGCTCCGCACTGCTCCGCCCGCCGCCCGGCAGGGACTCGCATGCGCCCGGGGGGGGAGCGGGCCGGCCCTGGGTTCCCGCGCCCGCCTGGCTCCGCCCCGTCGCTGAGGGAGGGCGGGGCGGCGCCATTTTTTGCCGTTTTCTCGGTGGAGGAGGGGAGCTGTAAGTGTGCTTTCCCTGAGGCAGCGTTAGTCTCTGTGTTTATGTATGTTCAGAAACGAGGAACGATTGAGTAACGCACACCCACGATCTGGATATGGGGCGGTGACGTTGTTCTTTTTTTTAATACGAAAAGCCCTACAAAGAAGTAATGCGGTTTTTTAAGTCTAGAGAGGTAGGCTGGTTTTGAATTAGTTCATTCGTGAGGAAGACAGAAATAAATCTTTCCTTGTGCCTTTCTAAACAGTGTGGGAAGATTGGCATTGTATAAACTCTGTACACTGGAAGGGCTATTTTTAAAAAAAGAGAAAAGAAGGTAAGGTCTATGTAGAAAACAAAATATCTCTTCTGGAAAATTAAAACCAAAAGATTGTTCTATTTTTCTCAAAATTCCAGCAAGTTCAGCCCAGTGTTTGGTTTTGATTAATGAATATCTGAAAGCGTGTAACTCCATCAGAACTTCTCTTACCATATCTAGAATTTATATCCTGTATTCATTAAATTGTTCTTTTTGGACTGTGACGAATGTGAGTATGTTACTATTGAGAACCAGTAAGGAATTAGTATATATGTAAATTTCTTAAAGAAGGAATGTGGAAACACTGTGTAGATGGCCTTTTTTTTCCCTTTAATAAATAATTCTGTTCTTTGTTTCTCGGGGGTAGATGTGGCCTTTAATTTTTTGTGTATCGCAATGTTCTTGTTTTGGTTTTAGTTTTATTTTGTTGTTGGTTTTTTTTATTATTATCCAGGGATATTTCACCAACAAATGGCAGTGAAGTATTTTTCTCACATGAAATTTATGAAAAATATTCGTTGGCACCAAGCCTTTCTGAACTGTGGCATTTATCAAACAGGTATATTCTATTATGTTACAATTTTGTGCTGTTTGTCATCATCCTGTTGATACATACCCTTACTATTTTGGGGAAAGCTGTATATTACCCGGCATGCAAGGATTTGTTACTGACTCATTGGTCCAGCAGCTGGTCTGTGCTTTACCTATTGTGAAACCTCAGAAAGTGGGAAGAGTCTAGGTTGGGACCTCTGGTCTTTCGTGTCTTTTGGGGAGTGGGGTGGTATTTGGGGGGTTTTGGGATAGGGTTTGCGTTATTTTTGGGGGGGTAGTGCTTGTTGGTTTTTTGCTCTCTTTTACGTACCAGAGAGAGATGAAGTTTGACCCACACTCTTAACTGGTCATGGTAAGGATCCTGTAACCTGTGAACCAGACCTAATTATTTTTAGAAATTAATGTCTTGCTGTCTGTCCATGTCTTCTCACTTTGGAGAAGGCTGATGATACTGTACATTGAAATCCTTTTTACCTGTATCTTTTGGAAGTAGCCATCACCATTTACATAAAGCCAACAGTGTCTAAGGTGCAGTGGAGATGCAATTAATTCCTTGAATAATGAAGAAACTGTATAGATTGTTAGCTGAAGGGTGAGAAATGAAATTATGTGAACACTGGTGGTACAGGTAGTATTGTTTGTGCAGTTTTGATGTCTTTTTTAATTTTCTTAAGTTGAGGAATTAGAAACAACTTTTGTTTCGCATAGTGAAAAGCATGGCTCATGCTGCCGAATTTCAAAAGTTGGAGGACTGTATTTAGGCTGTTGTCTTTTTTTCAGAAGTCATTAAGCTGGTAGGGAGGTACAAGTGGCAAGTGTCTCATGGTGGATGAACATTCACACCGCAAAGAATGTGGATGGGAGATCAAGGTAGTGACTGTGCTCTAAGTGGGGAGTTCAGCATGTGAAGAAATAATTTGTTCTAAAGGGGAATTACAGTATTTTTATGAACTGACACTGAGTGTGCACATTTGAGGGGAACACCTGTCTCCATCACGTAACTATATCCCACATCTTTGGCTAGAGAAGGCTTTTCTGGCTCATCTCTGTAGGAGCAACTTTCCTTGAACTGGCAGAGATGAGCACAGCCCTCACAGCTTGCTACTGGGTACACTGGATATTACTGCAGGATTCTTCCTTTAGATGATGTAGAAAAAGGGTTTCTGGAGTAGACATGACTGCACTTAAGAGTGGGATTGTGTTCAGTTGTGTGTAATAGAAGTGGGTTTATAGCCAGAAGAGAGGTTGCAACCAGAAAAATTCAGAAATTGATGGAACTGGGTTGTATGGCCATAATCAAGAGGAAGAGAAATGGAACCCGTTGGGGCAAACATAAAAGTAAAAGCTGGCAGAAATTTGTCAATTTTTATATTGGGTTTTCTGATAGATATTTACTAAAGTGTATGTTCTCTCGCCATAGAAGCTGTGAAGGCAAGTTGCTGATAAAATGAAGGGGAAAAATTTAAGCCGTCAGCTCAAATAAAGTATAATGCTGTAAATATGGACAGAAAAGCTCTGTCAGATTATTTTGGTTTGCACCCTGATGAAGACTGTGACAGCACTGCATACTGAAATGATCTTGATGTGCTGCCATTTCATTCAGTGCTGAATATAGCCAATTTAAGCTGCTAGAATTTCTTGATGTTCCTACATTGGCATATCTGAGTCAGCATCTTGTCGCTGCTGCTGCTTAATTAAATTTGCCAGTTTGTGCCACGAGGATGGACACTTTCTCATATTCAGAGAGACAGCTGTGAAGTATTATTAAGAACTGTGGACGTGATACTGCTGGGTTTGAAAAAACACTTGAGATGTTTTCTGCTGCTGAAATCGTATCTCAAAAATATGCTTTTTCCAAGATCAGCAGTTAATGTTCATTTTGTTAACCTTAATTATTTTATCTTTTAAGAAAATAGAGCAGGGTTAAGATGCCTTCATATACTGGATTTGTTTTAATTTAAGAACCAGCTTTATAACATTACTTCTTTGTTTTTGTTAGGGGAGCTATGCCCCTTGCCTTAGCCCAAAATTATTTTTGGCAACTGATTTCAGCATTTTTTAGAGTAGAAGATGAAACTCTTGATTTGTGTGCTCTGTTTTTAGGAATTTTTTTCACTGAAATCCAGAATTTCTATTACAATTAAGTAGTTTTAATTTACTTTTTTTTTTACAGTGAAAGAAAGACTTTTTCTAGTTGAGTCTTTCTCCTTTACAATCATAACTTTGACTCATAAGTTAGACCTTTTTGAGTGCAAACTGTTTCTGAACACCAGCCATCGGTGAATGACAAAATGTTGAGACTCTTTATCTTTTCATTAATAATGAGTGTTTCCAGAACAAAGAATTGGAGTTTCATATTTAGCTTGTCACCTCAATATTGATTAGACAGACTAATATCTACACCATTTTGGTTTTAAAAAAAAAAAAATTTTTTTTCATCATTAAACCAGTGGCAAGCCTGCTGTTGATAGTAAGGGTTAGTCTGATTGTCCAGGTGAAGTTTCAGAAGGAGAAAATTTCTATGACAGACTAGGAGTTGGAATAGTATACAGTGCATTTTGCTGGATTTGAAGTTTAGGCTTGCACGACTGCCTCTATTAATTCTGACAAATACTATTATTTATGTGAAAAGTATGAGTTCTTTCATTTATTACTTTTCTTTCAGAGAGGCAAAAAGAAATGTGGAGGCATTGGCAAACTCTTCAGAAAACGGACAGACTTGCAGTGTGCAGGCTGCAGATCCAGTTGAGGTGGAGGCTAAAGGCACAACTGATGATCATCCTTTTCCAGAACCTAGACTCCCTTATCCATTTACCTCTTGTTTGACTGAGAAGGAGCAGAAAACATACTTACATCTGATGACTAAGTACTCAAAAAAACCCCCCTATTTTCAAGTTAATGCAGCAAGTCAAAGAGAATTATTCACGTATCTGGTAAGCGTGCATATATGTACATAGGAACATTGTAGAGGGAGTCATACAATTTTATTACGAAGAGTTAAGGAAAATGTAACAAAAATGTTTTTAAATTCAATTTGTTGTAATTTCCTTTTAACATAGTATTATGAATGGTAATAAAAGTTTAAAGTATTCAGGATAACGTTTTTAATACAAATTGAAAGCGTATTTGCTTATTTCCTTGAAAGTGCGTGGGTTTTCTGTAGATTTGTTGTTTTGTTGTGGTTTTTAGTAGTAGTCTAAACAACTGTTGGTAAGTGTAGATCTTTGATAGCTGATCAAATGCACACCCACCCCCCAAAAAAACTCATATTTTTTAATGACAAATTAAGAGTTGACCTTAATGTGATTTTAGCATTTCATAATGGCATGTAACAGTCTTGTGTAATGTTAGGAGATGGATACATTTTGATGTGATCTTTGCAAGCACCCTGTAATGCAAACTTTCTTCAGTAGCATGGGAGGGGACCTATGTGTTGACCTTCTGTGCTTCACACTTGCTACTTAGTCTCAGCAATGCTGTTTAAATAGTGAAAGGCTATGTCTCATGTTGGTTCAAAGTATCATTTTAGTTGAATCCTGTGTAATGTAATTAATCAGCAAATGGGTTTGAGCCATTGCATTTGGTTTTCTATGCTTCCTTGTGAATGCTAGTTCCTTTATTTTATGCTGTAACAATGGGACTGTCATTCCCAGGTAAATCAGTACCTACTGTGTTATAGTTACTTATAATGTAATTGCTTACAAAGTCAGAGCTCAGGTATGTTTGTGGCTCTGTCATGTAAACTTGCTCCAACAATGTCTTGTAACCTTTCTTTTTATAAACCACCAGTGTATGATCGAAAGAAGCTTGCTGTTTTTTGGGGGGGGGGGGGGGGGGGGGGTTGTTTTGGGTTTTTTTTTTTTTTTTTTTTTTTTTTTAGGAAACGCACCTTGCAAAAAACGTGTGTATGCAAAGACTTGCCAAACTGAGCAGCAGGTGGAATCTATGTCCTCCCTCATACCATCACCTGTACTACCTCTCTGGAAACTTTGCTGGTTACATACCTAGCCTACAGGATTCCATTCTGTCTTTAAAAGTAGATTTTTTCCTTCCCCCCAGCAAATGAAAGAAGTAGTAAATAATGAAATTGCAGAATTTATGAAGTTTGCCCAAAATGCTGCAAAAAGCTGCGCCCAAGATTATGATACCATCTCTGAAGATGCACTACGTTATACTGAGGTAATTACCAATACTGTGATTAATACCTTCTCTTCTTAAATAATCATATTGGAATTGTGATTAAGATACATAGGCACTGCTCATGGGGTCCAATGTTCCCTGAACTTCTGCTGATTCCATGTTGGCATGAGACATGGAAAGTAGCCTTTTCCTTTATGCTGTGCAGCATGACTTGGCCCACAGTTTATTGTAGCTAATAAGATACGATATAAGTGAGGTCACTGAATACAATACTGTACAAAGATTTAGTCATCAATTAAGTAGATGACATCTTTATATTTGGGAAGGGAGAAATTACATTTTAACTGTGCATTTACATTAACAAGCTGCTCCTAAGTTTACACTACTGGACAGAATGTTAAGCTTTCCTCTACAGTAGCATGCTACAAAGTCACTTTAATCAGAGGTTACTCAGGCTTTAATCATAATCATCTCCAAGTTCATGCTGTGTTAAATATCATCTTTGATGATTCTAAAATCAAACATGAATGCAACTTTATATATCATTCTTGGTTTAATAGCACATTTTGAGAAAAGAATTCCAGAATACAGGTTCGTTAAACTTTCCAGCAGTGGGTTGACTTGCTCTTCCTTGTTTTCCTTATAGTGTCTTGCTTTAATTGAAATGGCGTACTTATATACTTTCTGTTAAAATTTCAATCTTTTCTAGTAAGTGCCGCATCGCTTTCTTTTACAGAATAACACAGAAAAATAAATGTGTTTACTAAAGTAGAACGTTTCATTAAATTCAGAAGGATTGCTTCTATTTCACCATACCACTTTTTATTACGTGCTCTTTCATGCACAAGACAAATTTGTTCTCCCTTTAACACACGGTTTGGGCACATGTGAGGACAAAAATCTTGCTTTTTTTTCTAAAAATTGGGATTGGCTTTGTAATTTTGTATCTTGCACTTGAGCCTGTTTTTCTAAGTGATGTTGTCTGGTCACAAAATGTCTCCAGACTTGAAGTTGTTTTATAGTTAAGTTGATATCCCGAGATAAAAATGAAACGGAGGCACATATTTAGTTTTAAACAATACTTGCAGAAGTAACTCATTCTAGTTACTATATAAAACCTAAATGTCTTAAATACATAATTCATATATCATAAAAAATTATCTTAGGATCTAGAGTTGACATGAAAGCAAGTTACAATACATATGAAATCTTCTTATGTCTCTATCTTTGCGACTTCTACCTAGGCCTAGTGTAAATTGGGTAGTAACACAAAAAATACCACTCCCTCTAAAAGCCAAGATAAATGAACTGAAAAGAAAATAATTACCTTGTTTAGCACAGTTGAAACTGTACTATTTTTTTTATGATTGGTTTGAGCCTGTATGCATACATTGTTAGCCTTGCATATAAAGGGTTGAGGAGAATTTAGAATATGTTTCAGTTCTGATACCAGTGATTGTAAGATTTTTACAGAATTGTACTGGTATCTCTAAGTTTTTAAATACTGTCTCTAGCTGGAAAAGTTGAACAAGTCTGTTAGCAGTAATTGCTAAATATATCTGTGTTCTCTACAGAAAGTATATGCAAATGCAACTTGCAATTGCAGAAAAAACTTTCAAAAATTAAATTCTTATGAAAGATACAAATGCATAAACTATTTTTTCTTTTTATGTTAGGAATTATTACGTGCTTGTATTGGACATGCACAAAAGTATCCTGAATTTTACACACTACAGGAGATCATGGGTATCATGGGAGGAAAGTTTCATACGCAGTTGACCTTTAGGCTGGAAAAAAATCTTCTTGTAATGGTAATATCTTACATATACGTATTGTTTTGGTGTTATTTTCAAAGAAGTAGAATTACATTTGGATTGTGTTACGCAAGGATTCGGGTTTTTTACAAGTATTATTCAGTGGTTGGTTTAGGGGCTATAATTTATAATTAAAATTGTTAATGAAAACATTGATGAAATTATTTTGGTAGTAGTAAGGCTGTTAACACCCTTCAAAAAGGTTGCTTTAATAGTTTTTTTTTCTTTAATATAACACTAACTTTATAATGCACCTGCCTAAATTCTTAATATTTTTCACTATAAGAAGTGCACTGTTGGGTCAGCATGATTTCAAGTTAAAGCTATTTTCTGATACTACTTGATTTCTTCAAGGGTACGGCAAGACGTGGTAAAACAGATTTTCCTACCATGCCTGTTCAACTGCCCACAGACTACAAAACTGTTACATCTATTATAACTCCAGAAAAAAAGGCTTCTATTATGCACAATGTAAGTAACCTTTTTATTGTCATTTTTAAGGCTTATTTTGTAGAGGAGAGCAATTTGGTCCTATTTATGTTTCTTCATACAGTTTTTTCATTATTTTTTTTTCCTAATCTTACACATCTTGTAGGATAGGAACATATTTTGTATCATTATTTGTTTAGTATTTCATTTATAGCAATCACATTGCCCTCTTCAAAAGTTGCATTATTACCTTTTGGAGCTAGTGCCTCTTGAAGGGACTTCCTCTGTTCTCTAAAGGAAACATTAGAGAGGTCCTTAAATTGGAACGCACTGTCTGTGAAATCTGGATAGAATTGTTTATTACAGTGTTGTTCCTTTTAAACTTTGCTTTGCAGTTTCTAAGCTGGCCTCTGTGTGTGTGAGTGTGTATGCATGTATATAAATGCATGTAGGTATAAAGGCTTCTGATTTAAGAAAGAAGTCCTGAGGGTAAGAAGAAATACTTTAGACTGTCTATTTTTCTGAAAAGTTGATTAGGTTACCTTACCCTGGGAATTTCTTTTGCTAAACAGCATAAACTCCATTTCTGAGTTGAACAATTTTTAGATTCCAGTCCACCTTGCTGATAAATATCTGATGTTTCTGTTTGTGTTCTTCTACAGAGGACATCAATGAGGTTTTCATTCTGTGGAACTCATTTTTTGTGACGGTTTATTCCAGATAATTTGTTATCCATTAATTGAAGGAGTTTGTTCACATATCAAAACCCAAACTTTCAACAGAGGCACTGTGATTGCAAAGACACTTTTGCTTCAGAAAGTAGCAGAGGTGACACAGGAGAATGATATATGCCTCAAGAGTTGTTGTAGCTATAAATAGAGAATATTTCTGATGAAGTCTCAGGTGGCAGAAAAAAGAACATAGCTAGACTTTTCTTATTTCTCTCTCACAGTCCTCAGTGCTCCTGGGTTTCTGTTATCTTCTTAGTCCTTGATGTTCTCCTCCCACCTCATGAGCATTCCCAGCCTCCTCTCTTCATGGAAACCTGTATTCATGATGTTTAATAATTTTATCATTTCAATTCTGAATTTGTATTCTTCATGTTTTTGTATTTGTTTTACAATTCTTTGTATGTAATCTGTATTCAAACAACTGTGCAGTTTTAACCATACCTTTAAAGTTAGATATCTTTTATTGTGATACTACTTAACTCGTAAGAAGATCTGTAATATATGTGTGAGTGAATCTGGTTTGGTTTTTTTTTTTCCTTCTGCAATGGACTCCCATATTTTATGATCATCCAAATTCCTATTCAACCTACTAATTCAAATTAAAAGGAATTAACTGAAAGATACAAGTAAAGAAGATGTATTTTCTCATGCTGCAAGGTGGATGCATAAGATTCAGCCAAAAATCTTCAGGGGAATTTTTTGCTTTTTTATTTGATTCTGAAGCCTGGCACTTTGATGGTATTTGGGCTTTTGGTGTGGGGGTTAATCCATGTTTGTTTGGATTTGGGCTTTTTCTTATGAATTTAAATCTATATATGTATTTCTTAAAAAAACTTTAAAAATTTAACTTTTTTCTGTTTAGGATATTAGTTCAGATTCGAATGCAGAAAAACTTGCTTTGAAATACTGTCCTCAAGTTGTTTTAAGTAATCAGTCATTATTTACTTTACTGAATAATCATGGACTTAACTACAAGGAACAATGGGAAATTCCAGTTTGCATTAAAATGATCCCTGTTGCAGGTATAGTATGTTTTTGTTGTAAAAATTACATTTTTGTCCATGGAGACCTTTATATATTCTCATAATCCTTTCTGAGCAGACTGAAGAACAGGAAATTAGAAGATCCAGTAAAACCAACTGTGGGAAAGTAGAAGGTAGTCTGGTTTAGTTCACACAGTAATAGAATAGTTTAATTTTGACTTTATTTAAAAAAAAGAAAGAAGCTAAGGTTAATGAAAATCATAATTGTAATTATAAGCTCAGATTTTTACCTTTTCTGAAGGAAGCAGCACTCTAGAATGCAGCTATGAGAAAATAGTTTCTCTTAAGTACTTCCATGTTTTTAATTTAAGGAATCAAACAAAGTAATAAAATTTGACTGACTTTGTTCACATGTTTTAAAGGGCAAGAATCTGAAGTGAATGTTTTCAGCTGTCATCTGGTAAGGAGTCGGAGACCTTTGTGTTATAAAGAAAAAAGTGTTTAGTTTAATCAAAGTTATTATAAAAAAGTAAACCTTAAAAAATCCATTGCTATAGTTTTTACTCTATTTTCAAGGAGGAAACCTGATAGCAAGGTAATTTCATAGTTTTCTACACCTTGTTCCACCTTGTTACTGAGAATAGTAACAACCTCTAGAGGTATCACCATTAACATTGGATTTGGACATACAGCTATTTTCCACTTGGGGGGAAAAAAAAAAAATCAGTTAAATGTCCTTTTGCTTTTCAAAACTGTAAGCTCTGCTCCTTGGAAAGAAAACAACTGCATGAAGCTGTTAAAATTATCAAGTGAAATGATTTCAATAAGCTAAAAAAAAAAAAATTCTGAAGTTTTATGAAAAAGCCAAACAAATATTATCTGGAATTAAAAGGACCTATTTACATCATAGAATAATGAATGAATAATGAATGTCCATGGAGATCACTTTTCCCAATTACAACAAAAAATGTTTTGAATAAACTGATTAACTCACCTGAATGCTCTAGTTTAGTTGTCAAGCACTCCATCAGTAATCTGAATATAGATTTCCTCACTTCTTGCCCCCCACCCCCTTTTTTTTTTAATACACTAGGGCTTTTTTCATTATGAGTATGTATAATGGTTATTGTCTTGGAATGTCTGTGTTCTATGCATTTCCCACAAATTTGTATAGCAGACCTCTGGATAGTAGTAAATAAGCTGTCAAATATCTGCAAATCCTACAAATTTTGCACTTTCCTACATGAGATTAAATTACTTTATCTGTAAAGACATGCCTGACTCCTTTTATATCAGCTTTACAGTTTTCAAACTTGAGTTTAGATCCAAAGTTAACACCTAAAGGGCATTCAGAATATGTTAGCAATATATAATGTTTCTTGAAGGGTTTCTTCTCTCTTTCTTTTTCTACCTTCCCTGTAACCCCCGTCTTGCATTAATTATATTTTTTTCATCCTCAGATTTATTTTTTTTTTCTAAAACACTGATACTATGTTCACCATGTGCCTTTGCTTTCTGTATAATATTGGGCAGGGTATCACTGTTATTTTTGGGTGAATCTATGGGTGATTCATATCTAAGTGTGTCAAGATGTAAACAAGAGAGTGGGGCAGCAGAGCCCGGACATAGTTACTGATTAGAAGAAATGTAAACTGCAGCCATCACTTTTGGACAATAAGACTTCAAAAAAAAAAATTTTTTTTTTGAGGTTCATCAAAGGAAGCAGAAAGATATTTTTGGAAAACAGAATACATTTGATGATACAATACAGTATAAGGAATGATGACTCCTAAATTATTTTACAAATTCTCTGTTTAGAACTGCATTTAAAATATGATCAACTGTTAATGTGGTATGTATTGCTGCTGCAGGATCCTAATAATTCACACTGTATCTGGACATACTTTTATTTTCTGTTGTTAATGAATGAGAGGATAGTTTTTCACTTCTTCTAGTGTGAATGTGGAATGGATTTGACTATAATTGGAAGTTGAAAGATTTATTACTTAAATTGTACAACAATCTTTTTCCTTTCATTTAATACATAGTCAATCTCTTTCTGTTCTTGAAAAGGTGGCAAACCAGCTAGAGTGGTTTATGTTGATTCACCTCTGCTGAGAAAGGAAATGACAGTAAGAGAGAGGAACCAGATCTTCCATGAAATTCCAATGGACTTCCTAGCAACTAAAATGTCTTACGTTTCGATTTCTGATGTGTTGATGGACAAACCAGCTGAGGACAATCTGTTTCAGTGGGATGTATGTAGCTTCATCTCCATGTAAAAACAAACAAACAAGAACAAAAACCTATGTTATAATTCCTAAGTTACTTGTTCTGTGATAAAGAAGGAGAATTTAGGTTTCCTGTTGGTAGTTTACTGCTGAGTTACAGACCCTATGTTTTAAAATGTCTGTCTAGTTCCTTTAAATGCTTCTATTACATCGGCATCCTCAGCTTTAATGTTTACTTCATTAAAGCATATTTTGATCAGTTCATTTAAGTGGGAAAAGTTCTATGAACTTTATTTCTCTTTTGAAAGGCCTTTCAACTCCTAGGTCTTAAGATATTCTGTGTTAAACACAGGAATTTTTCTTTTCTACTGCCCCTTTCTCCCAACAGTCAAAATACAGATACTAGAACATTTTTTGTGTTTTCAATTTGACACTGTCCCATTTGTGATTAACATGTTCTGTTTCTTGGGGTTGGTTTTTTTTGTTGTTGTTGTTGTTTTGGGTTTTTTATGTTGTTATTATTTTTTCCTCCCTGTGTTAAGATGTCTTCTGATACCTACCAGTACAGGAAGATTCCTCTTCCAGATGACACAGGGATGGACTTTGATGATGATGTTACAGAACTGGAAACTTTTGGAGCAACTGTCAAGCTCTCAGGAACTTCTAAAATGGAAAGTACTTTTCCTACAGTTAGTAACACTGCTAAAGGTTTTTCACATGGCTTAAAAATGGGGAAAAAAAATACATCCACCATAAACAGTGGAGGTGAAGAAGGGAAAAACACCATTTCTGAGCAAGGAGTTCCAGCATATGCCAGCATGCAGCTTCCATCATTAGATGGCATTCTATGCTTCAGCCCTGAAGGAGATTCATCTCATAAAAGCTTTAAATCAGAGGAGGTAGGACTGAGCAAAGCACAGCATGTCATGACCAAAGAAGTATTGTACAGTGAAACAAAATTAAATACTCTCTCAAATGCTATTAGTTACAAGGAAGAGTCTGATACTGCACAAAAAAATGAGACTTACGCTTCTTTATGCAGTAGTGACACAGATGAAGAGCGTTTGATAATTGATACAGAATGTAAAAACACTGATTGTTGCAAAACACCTGTACCAAACACTGCTTCTCATACCTCAGCAGAGACTGCCAAATCGCCTTCCCCCACCCAGATTCCATTAGCAAGCATGAGTGATTGCTCAGATATTACAGATAAGGGAAAAAATGCCTCCAGAAAGGCTAAAAGAAAGTTGTCCAAAGAATTTGATCCTGTTGGACAGATTTTGAAAATGCAAACTGAACTTCTGAAGTCACCTTCCCAAAAAGCTCATGAGCAGCCAGTGGTGAGCTGTGATAGTTCTAATGCTACGTCAGCCCATGTGCCTCAATCTCCAAAACCATTGGTGACCTCCAGCACAGAAACTGCGCCAGCCCCTGCCTCAAATCCCAATGGCTCATCTAGAAATACCTGGACTTGGCTTTTTCAGGGAGTGCCAAAGAGTAAGTAATTGTGTTCATTGTGTAAGGAGTAAAATTTCAAATTTTTGATAAAATGTAGCAGAAAAACATTTTAAGTTCTTCATCTGAAGAACATCCTAATAGTATGTCCGTTAAATGTACTTAGAGATGTGACTTAATTTTTTTTTTTCCTAAACAATACCTTCTCTGTGTGACAATTACTGTCTTGCACACATAAGGAAGCATTTTGGGAGCTGTTTGTCCACAGAGGTGAATGTGAAATATTGTTTTACTGTAGAGAAACAAAAAAGTTGTTATACACAAGGTTTTTGAGCAAGGAAAAGAAATCATTTAGTAGTGAAATGAGTTAGTTTTCCTCAGAAATTCAAGTATTTGAGTAGTCTGGTCTGCAAAAATAGTTTCATGTCAATCAAAAATTGAGTTAGTTTACATTTTCTATAGAAGAAAGATGTTATCAAATTATGCAATTAAAACTTGAATGAAAACTTGAAATGAGAACTCACTACAAGCAACTCTCCCAAGTTTTCAGGCATTTAGCTGGAAAATGAACCTATGCTATGCCCAGACCTCGGGGAAGAACTAGAAGTCTTGAAGATCCTAGGGACCATGAACTTTGAGGTTTTTCTCACATGCCTGATTTGCTTCTGAGCTCTGTACAACTGAAGTTAGAAGCACTTTATTGTGTTAGGTAAATTGGCAGGAAACCAGGCAGGTTCCATCAGAACAGATACTTTTTTTTCTCAAATATTTAATTCCAGTGAATCGATGCTTTTTGGTGGGAAAACATGTCTTGCTGGTGTTTTCCAACTAGCTATGCATTTGATCACATAGGAATTAATCTTAATTACTTAATCTGTAATGGAGACAGTTAACACAAGTAATTCTGTTGTGTTGTCACTTCCTACATTTTTGTCGATTTAACTGAATTTTAGTAGTCACTAAAAGACCATGTCTCCTCCCTCAGCTTGAAGAGTTGAACAGCATGGTACTCTTTCTATTTCTTCTTCTCTTAAAAAGCCAGAGTATGAAATTCAGGTGTTTGATAATAGAATTTTTTTTTTTTTAATAGAGGTAGTGAAACCAATATTGCTAAGATGCTGAAGAGTGACTGTGAAAGAATAGAAAGCATAATTCTACAAATTAAAGTTCTGTAGCAAGCTGAAAAACCTCTATCCATGTCTTTTTTTGCAGAAAGCAAGAACTAAGTTAAGTATTTTACTAACAGAAAATTATTTCCAGTCACTTGAATGATAATATCTCGCACAGTATACATTTATTCAAATATGCACATAAACTCCGAAGTGGATAAATTCTCAATAAATAATGTTGAACAAGTTGGAGTTTTTTCTTGTTTATTTTAAATGTTTTGTTAAAATATCTCTAAGGGATGCAGGGATGTTTGTTAACCTACCTCGAAGCCGCACTTGGATGTCTAATAATTGTTTCTTTTGAATATACTAGTATTGAAATTGATGGTACATTATGCTACCATCCAAACCTGAGGCTTGAGTTATTTCGGTAACCGATAAGTGGATGACAGCTCTCAGGAGGCATTCATGGTAAATAAATTTTTTGTCTCCATTGTGCTGAGTGGCTGTGGCTTAAAAAACAGCCTTTGAACTCCATTTGTACAAGAATGGAGTCTCACAGCTCTGTCTTTGTAAGAAATCTAATGATTAGGATAAAATATGTGGGAATATTTAAAAATATAATCTTTAAAAGTTATAGCGGCCATTTCCCAAATTTAATTTTTTTTAATACATAAGTGACTTCTTGTGCCTAATGAGACAGTTTTCACCCCAAAATCTTAGGAGACAAAAAAGGTTCTATTAAAAAAATATATAAACAAACCTACTGCAAGAGTAAAAAGCAAAAAGCTAGTTAGCTTCATGGTAAAGAATGTGCAAGCCTGTCGGTTTCTGTTTTATTTATTTTCTGTAGGAAAGCTGCCAAATGAACTTCAGATGCTTGAAGAAGACCCTTCAGAGTATGAAGCACCTCAGGATGGCAACCTTGTGTATAAGCTATTCAGTTTGAATGATCTGTTGTTACTTGTACGTTGCAGTGTGCAAAAAGTGAAGTCATTGCCACGATACCATAAAAAGAAAAAAGCCCAAAAGGTATAGGTTTTGCAGTTAGCTTTTCTGGGTTTTGTTTATTTGTTTATTTGTTTGTTTTTTAAACAGTTGTGCTCAGCTGGCATCTCTGGGATTCCCAGTCCTTCGTAGCATTTGTGTTTTCACTCAGACAATTAGTACTTTTAATTGTAACTCTACAGTATGTGATGTCTTTAAGTAAATATTGCTGTAGGAAGAGAGGGAAGAATAACTTGTGATTTCTTTAAACCTACTTGATTAGAAGATAAGTAAGTGTGATTCTGCATTTTTTACTACAACTGCATTACAGTAATATGCATGGGTAATTATACTCATGTAAACTAATGTCAGTTTGAACTATTCTTAAAAGTTAATGCAGTAATTAGGTTTTTGGCCCAAGGCTTTGAGAATGTTCATGATCATAAATACTTTCAAGCAGGATTCAGCCTTGCTATTATGCCTAGTTAAGCAGAGCAGTAGGAGATAGAATGAACAACAGAGGACACATTTAAAGATAAAAAGAGATCCTATTCATTCTGCTTGAAAAGTATGGTATACATCTTAGCAAATCGTTTGTCTTAAGGAATAAAATGCTTTAAATGCAAGTGTAATCCAAATAGTCCTTGTAACATCAGGAGAAGGAAAGCTTATTCTGGAATCCTCAGTAATTTGTTATTTTGTCAAGAGTCCTCTGAATCATTCAACAAATTTGATGTGATATCTCCCTCCCCAGAATACCAGAATTATGGTAGGCAGGTATTTTGTGAGGTGTGTATGCTTTATTGAAGTGGAAATAGATCTTTGTAACTCTGATTACTTGCTAAGATTCCGTGCTCAAAATCTTATTTTGAAGAAATACCATCTCTTTGCTATTGATCCACTGCTTGTAAGTGCCTGTGAATAGCTGCTTAGTTTGTTAATCAGAAACTGAGCACTGTTATTTTTTAAAATTCCTGCTGAAATTTAAACTGATTTGTCAGTGAGAAGAGGCTTGTATTTTCTCTTCTAGTGTTAACATGCAAAGATTAGCCTCTGATTTCAAATGAGAGTCCGAACATTAGGTTATAATTTCAAGTAAGACCCTGACAGGGGGAGTAAGTGGCAGGATTCCACTAATAATAATCAAATCAGAAATATAATAGTGTATTTTTTTCTTAAATTCCTGCAGAGGGCAGTAGAGCACAGAAGTGCGAGCTTCGAATTAATTTAGTTGCATGGAAAAATTACTTGGCAGCAAATTTTTATTATTTGTAAAGGCTTGCCTAGGCTTTTTTTTTTTTCCTGTCCATTTCACCTTCCTCTGTGTAGAGTCTCTGTAGTCCAAAGTTTGTACTGTTGGTTTCATAGAATGTGAGCCGTCATACAAAAATCTGTGAAATGTCTTTGTTGCTTCAGCTGTAGTGGAGGACTATGATGATTATCAACTACAAAATGTAGTTCAACTGTGGACATTTTTTGGGCAGTGAGTGCTGATTTTTCTTGTATCTCACTTTTTAGCTTACTCCAATATTCCTGTTGCCAAAACTAGAATACCAACCCTATTACGGTGTAGAAGCTCTTACAGAAAGTGAAATATGTCAGTTGTGGACAGAGAGTATGTTGCATTCTGAATGCTTATTTTATATTGGTAAGTTCATGTGTTGATTTTTGCTTAAGTAACATGTACATCTGAATATTCATAGAATAACAGAAGAGAAAAATATTTATTAAAGATATATTCCACATGTCTTTATTTTAACTTTCTAATTTTGGTTTTCACTTTTATTTTAAATAAGTGCTTTGTCTAAAATTTCTGTTGGGTGGTAAATGAGGATATTTCAGCTTTGGTTTTAGATGAATAGCATCTAGTTTTTGTTTTCAAGAACTGCATTTATTTGTCTTTCGAAGACAAATTTATCTGTAAGTGTGAATTTAGTTCTCCAAAGTTAGTAATCTTCATGAGTTAAAGTATTTGGGTTTTGGGGGGAGGTTTTTGTTTTTGTTTTTGTTTTTAAAGAATCATATACAACATGAATTACTGCAGGAGTGGTAAAAATATTTCTTGATGAAATGTGAGCTATAAATATGTCTTATTATTTTGTGAAATCATTTTAAATAAACTTGTTATTACATACCAAAATAGAAGATGAACAGAGGATCAGGTATGTGGCTCAGAGGATACTGATTCCTTGGCCTTTGAGCTTGCAGTATGGGAAAAGGTCAAATATTACTTATTTTTCCTTGAAAACAGGCAATAATCTTCATATTTCTACACTGATAACATGTAGACAGATAAGATTACAAGAGAATGAGGAAAAACAAGCAAGATAGGATTAACCGAGTTCTGTCGTTCAGAAATAAGAGAAATTACGTGCTTTGAAAAAAATGTACATGTGTCTCATATCTAAGGTACTGGAAATAATTTTCTAGCTTTGCAGAAATGAAAATTCCTAACAGGAAGAAGAAAAAAATACACAGCACAAGTTTATTGAGAACTTCTTTCCACAGCTATGATATTCCTCAGTAGTTCTGAACACTGGATGATCTTACTTAAACATTATTTTCTGGGTTTTCCTTTGTGTATCTAACTGATCCATGAAATTTCATATTCTAATATGTGATATGACTTGAAACATCCCTGTCAAAGGGATGGTCTTGATACTCCTTGTCCTGTATCATGCAGCAGATGGAAACAGGAGATAATGTAATAGAATCTATGAATGAGAAGTACCATGCATTCAGTGAGAATGAAGCAGGAAACTATAAATCTCATGTAGAAGAGATGACAGCTGTAATTCAGAGCACAGAAAATAAAAAGACAATAATGCAGGGATAAAAAGTATGGAAATATTAGCAGAAAGATCTCTTACTTATAAAGGCCATTTTTTTTCCAAAATCACATAAACTGAGCATACTAGGAATGCAGCATTATAAGGAAAGTTTCACTAACAAATGTCCTGTAGAAAATGCTGTATTCGTGTTTGTACAAAGACATTTTAAATGTCATGAAAGTTTTTATGTCTATTAGGATACATATGTTTTGCAGAGAAATGAAAATGATGCATATGAAGAATGTGGCCAGATCATTTTAACCAACCCTTTTACTATATGGAGAGCTCTCTGATACCAGTTAACTTGTAATTAATAAGGTTTTGAATGGGAAAATCTGCAACAAAGTGGTTAGTCAAAATGCATTTTAGAGTATGTTTGGCACTTGCTACAGAGTGAGGGCAATCCTGTTTGTACAGTCAATGAGTGTTCTGCAGTGGGGACTGCCTCGCTTTCCTGTTGTAGAAAAAATTCTCTGTTTTTTATGGTTGTTATGGCAGCAGCTGTGGCCTGTGGTTGCCTAACCTTTCCACTTGTGCACTGAATTACATTTTTGCTGTTGGTGGCTCACATCAGAATACTATTTTAGAAATGCTGAGTTCTCTCTTTCCTAATTTTTACATACAAACTTTGCATCCTATCATAGAATTATAGGGTTCGTGTGAAATCTAATATATTTGAGGTGATAGTTTTGCTGATTGCATCTTTGTCTGCTGTCCATCTTTAATGGAAATTGTGTTTCTAATTGCAAAAGCAATATTTGCTGTGGTTTTTCCCTTTTCTAAAAAAAATCCTCACAAAGAGATAATTATGCACACAGTTCTCCATTTCTAATTATATCTTAACGTACAGTACTGAAGCATTTCTTCTCTTTTTTTTTTTTTTTTAATGAACAGAACAGTATACTGAATTGCACTGAAATTTAGCCCCCTGTAGAAAATTTTATCAACATTTCTGTTAACATTTCCAGAGTCACAAGCACTGTGAGGAAATAGTCAAACTAGAGAGCTGGCTAATCTGGCTGGATATCTATCTAATCTCTCATCAGTTACAGGATACTTAATGTATGGCTTGGATGCCGAAGTTTGCAGACAGCTCATCCAGCCAACTCCCCTTTTTATAGACACTGTCATGAGTGTAGGAGAAAGCAGGCTGTGTGCCGCAGGACTTGTTCTGGCATAAACAGTCATCCCCTTCTGATACGGGGGTTCCTCGGTGTTTCTGCTAGTTGTGAAATGGACACGGAGCTCTAGGCTGGCAGGCTTCAGTGGCCTGGCCTCCAACACACTGTCTGTCTTCATGTGCTTGGGAGAAAAAGTCGTTGGGATTGAGAAACACTGGTCATTCCAGTGATGGTGATGCTTGTTTGTCAGCTCTTGGATGCGCTTCTTCCAGCAGCAAACCCTGGGGTCCACAGGGGTTCTCTTTTTACGTGCTCTGAGGAAGCACAGGATTACCGCGGGTTGTCACTGTCCTGCATGGTGAATTAGTACTCCCAGCATGTGGGGCAGCCCTCCTCCCACCACTATTTAAAAAAAAAAAAAAAAAAAAAAAAAAAAAAAAAGTCTGCTGCAATTAGAGTTGGACTCTCAGCATATCACCAACTTTTGATACTGACAGAAGATGTGATTTATTCAGGTAGGCGAACTGGGGACTGCAGATTTTTGGTACCACCATGTAGTTTCTAGTAGAGCTAGGTAAGAAGACATGCGTGGAAGTAAATGATCCATTTTATGAAAGAGCACCTACCACAGCTTTTAATAGGAAACTGTTACCATATTCTACTTAGGGATTCTTTCTGCTCTTGTTGAGAAATATTGCAAGGTAGCTGTGAAATTCCGCCTTTCAGTTTGTATTTCTGGGGAGCTGTGAAAAATACAATGTTGCAAGTGTCCTGATTTACTTAGAGGGCTCTTTGCAACAGAAAGCTGTGTTCTGAAACTCCAGGGACAATTCTCTAAGGGCAATGATATCCCTGTATTATGGACAACTAACAATGACGTGAATATCTCATTCTTTTTCATTAATCTGATACCTGAAAGTAAGACTGCTGCTATCATGTGTTTGGTGTAAGGAGAAAGACAGACTTGACTTCTCAGATCGTGCTATAATTTGAATTATTTTAAGTGAAATATCATGTCTAATAATAAAGGAATTTTTTATATCAACCATAATAGAGCCATATACTTTTTGCTCTTTTTAAATTTACCCCACAGTTTGAGTTTGAAAGTATGGAACAGCTGTTTCAAAACTGTGATCTTGCCATTACTAACACAGTACCTACAACTTGCATTCTTGTTCAGATAGTTCTGAGACTATATAGATCTTAAGTGAAGCCTCTAAAATTGAAGTTTTGAGTGTGTAGCAGACCTCAGTGTTAAATAGCTTAGGAGTTCTTGTATCTTGAAACAAGTTAATTCACTGTCTCAACAATCTTTTGTGTTGCCAAATAAGCATGGATGGAAAGGTCTTTGAATCTTGGTCTGTTCCCCATAATAGTCCTGTGTTGTTCTTCAGTGTTGTATTGCTCTATGTGGCTGAGAGAAGAATCTCATAGCTCAGCACAGTGACTCAGCAGTCTTTCCAGCTCAGGACATGAGAAAGAATACAGAATTGTGACTATGGCCTTGTGCAGAAGTTGCAAGGTGTGATATTAAGTGGAATTTTTTATTTTTTATGTTCTCAGAGAAGGTAGTGATTGTTCGCACAAAAGCAGAGATATTATCATCAAACAAACTTAAGAGTGCTGTCCTCATCTTGCTCTAGTAGAGCACCTTGTTCAGTTGTTGATTTAAGTCCCCTTGCTACTCAGATAGGAGATCCTGCATCTGCAAAGGGAGTAATCTCTGTGACGTGTTTCCCAAATAAGATACTTGTGTATGATCTAAGCAGTAAATAAAATTGTGATAAGCTTTGCTGATTAATGGGAACATTTTACCCCCAACCATTATTCACATATTTGCATTAAGTGCCTAAGCAAAACTTACTGCAAAAAGAATAGTTTACCTTCCCTTGAATAGGATAATATTGGCCTTTAAATAAAGATTATTTGAAAAATGGCTTGGAAAGAAGTACTTACTATATCAGTAACTTAGTGTCAAATGTTTTCAGTTAGTCACTTCTCAAATATAAGATACAGTAATGTAAATTAGGTGTGAGTAGTTCATGGATACTTCTTATTCCCAGCTATGCTGTCAATGAGTTTAGAAATAGAGAAGTTTCTGATTTGAGGAGAGGCTGATAAGGAATGGAGAACACAAACAGATTTTTTTAATATTTTTTTTATTTTTTAAGTTTTGGGGTTTTTTTTATAATGACTTCAAGTTTCTGTTAGACAGCAATGCAGAACATTAAACCTAGCTGCTTAGTCTTGCACAAAATACTGATATCAAGAAAAGTAACAAATGTACAGTGTTTCAAAGAAATGAGTTGTCCTGGTACTTTTTTTAAAAATTTGTTAAAATGAGAGTTCTTACTTGGTCGTCTTACACATCCCATAACAAATTGCTAGTAATGTTTAACTTGGAATGTGACGTGCTTTGGTTTAGCAGTTTTAACTGTACGATTGAACAATTTACACCTCCTACGAGAGCAGATTTGTAGTAAGGCAGTAAATTCCTCCGAATAGGTCATATTTTATTATGCTGCCTTTTTCTCATCCTCCTTGTGGGAGCTGGAATAGAACAGATTTCTGGGAAAACCTCAACATGAGAGAGAACCTGAAGGTAAGGCACGGTCACCACATCAGTGTACAAGCTATGCTAATGATCTTTACTGCTTATCAAGTGAAAATGTGGGCTAAACTGTTCTTGTCAGCCTTTATTTTAAAAACAAGATGAGGAGAGCTTTGAATTGTTGCTCATAGCTGTGTCAAAGACAAATACTCTTTAATGATTTGCTGTGAAAAAGGCCTGAATTGTAAATTTTAATTTTTCAGGTGAGGGGAGGGGGGGATGGAAATCAAGAGACGAAGGTACACAATCCCCAGAAAATCAAGTAATGCAATTGTTTGTATAAACTGTCAGAATAGAAAAACAAGTATATTAAACTCAAAAGAAAATTTGTTGTAAAAGATAAACTTTCATGATCTGTCCAGTGAGAAAGCATAGTGATAAGGATCAAAAGAACTTGAGAAGATACAAGCTATCTGATGAGGTTAAGGCCATGGCAAAATGAAGTTGTGTATCCCAGATATCACCCAAGATGTAAGATTTTCTGGAATCATGGGCATCTCCCTGATTTAGAAAGGCAGGCCAAATACAGATGTCTGTACTTTGAGCAGCTATACATTTTACTTTCCATTATTTTGCAACATTGATAAATACTTTTCACTGTTCTATGCTGTAAAAGCAAAATTTTTTATTCCTTTTAAAATGCATTAGGTCTGCAAATTATACTTTTGCATTTGTTCTCATTTTTATTTTCAGCATATTAATTGAATTAATATTTTTCAGGACGTATTGATGCTTTTACATCAAAGCTTATTATGCTAGAAAAGATTTCTCCAGAAATCTTAAGAGAAAAACTTGGATTGATTAAGTGAGTATTTTTAGTAGGTTTTTTTAGTAATGAATTTGAAATCCTAACAAGCCTTGCAAGTTACTACTTCTGTAATTTCTTTTCCGCAGGCCTGCAAATTCATTAAATATACTTCATCACATTTTGAAGAAAGTGTCTGAGTAAGTGCTCCATTCTTGTTCGTTGTATTTATTTGCAACATTACCCAGCTCATCCTATTTCTTCTGTAGAATGTTTGTCTAATCTTAAGATTTTTATTTCTTCAGATACATGAAATATTTTACAGATTCTTTTAGGTCTAGCATAGAATAATGCAGTACTGTATAAAAATGTGCTTAAGATTACAGGCTTTGTATAAATGATGCAAAAGAATAAGAACTTGATTTTTATGAACTACTTATCCAAGAGAGGAGACTGGACACTTCGGAGCTGATTAAATAGTTCACAGGAGTGAGATTTAATATTATGTATGTAGGCTGACATTTAAAATTTGGACTTCTGCTTTTTGTTAGTCTTTTTGCTTGATCTGTAGAAATAATACTGTTTGTGTTCCCTTCTGCTTAGCTTGACTTAGAACAGTATACATATGTCTCTGTACAACGTTGCAACTATTTTCTTGCTCTTTCCTTTTCTTTCTTTATTTAGCTACTTCCAGGCTTTTGCTCTGCAAGTGTCTTTTAATTTTTTTGTGAAGCAGGTTTCTTGCACTGTGTGTGAAGCCTCTTAATTTGAATTACAGAAGAGTTTTCCTGCACTTTGTAATTTCTGGAGCTTCGTGATTTGTGGCTAAGATTTTTGATTTGGACAGTTGGTTAACATTTATCATCCTGAAAACCTGTTTAATCCTGCATGTATTTAAAGCACATCTGTTCTTTGTGTCTGTGTCGATATATGCACTATGCTTTGTAAGGCCCTGGTTAAAGAATTACAGTTTGCCAAATATGCATGGTTTTCAGTGTTTGCTTAATTGTTTTCTTGAACATGATGGTAATCTGTACATTGATGATAAATTAGTTTATTATGAATACATTATAAACACATGAATTAGTAGGTATTTATCAATGCAGTTGAATTCATGTTTTTTTGACCATAGCATTTTGGTAAAACAGAGACTGATAAGTAAATATCTAAAGATGTTTTGCTCTTGTATTAAGAACTTGGCTATCCTGATCAAATGAAACAAAACAAAAACATTTAAATAATATTTTTCATTTTAACTTTATCTTTTTAGTTTGCAGGAGGGCTCTTACTTATTGACTCATGCTGCAGGAGATTCATCAGTTGGAATCTACAAGAGTTCTCTTGACAAGACGACTAGAGCATCATATAACTTACATAAAGCTCATTGTGATCTCCCTACTGTACCTGCCACTCTTTCAGTCCCATGGGTGCCACTAGATCCCAGCCTCCCTTTGCCCTATCACATGAATCATGGAAGAGTTCCATGCACCTTTCCACCTGCACCCCAGGAAGCCACCTGGAAACAGAAGGTCAGTATCACACTTGATGGAAAAGCAGATTAGCAGTTCTGAAATAATCTGTTTCAGTCCCTTGGGTACATAGCTAGTATATTTATCTGTCATCTTTGGGGGTCAGAGAGATCCTTTAGAGTTCTGGATCCACTACCAAGAATAGGAATGCCTTTTTCCTGAAAAATATTTCAGGTAAGATTCATCTCACCTAACTTTAAACTCTACAGTATGGAAAAACAACATTTAAGCTTGTTGTGCTGTTAACAGAGGAAAATGGAATATTTTGTAAGGTGCATCTCCACACCAGGATGGGCCTCTTAAATAGATTGTAGGACTTGTGCTGTAGAGTTGTCATTTTCTCTCTAATGACTACAGGAATAAAGATGATTAGCACAACTATATCAAGGTAAAATCAGGTGAGGTGAATTCTACTGTCAGGATGTATTCCATTGGGCTCTTACTGCAGTTCTCTGTGATAAATTAAGTGGTGGTTTGGGGTTTTTTTTTTTTTTTAATACACTTTTTTTTTTCCCCCTGTTTCGTGGCAAAATTCTTTCAAAATGAAGTTTTACGTCTTTAATGTGAGCTAATAATACTTTTGGACAGCAAAAAGAAAGTAGCGTTTGGCTTTATTAAAAGCTTTGTAATTTATAGATTTGCAGTACAGCTGAAACAGATACAATATTTGCATTTATAAGGATTTTCTAATTTTGCCTCTGTGATGGTGCTTTTTGTTGATGTACTCTTTCTTCAAAAAATTTCAGGAAGGACCTTTTAACCTGGTTTCCTTTTTTTTCAGTCCCACCTTTATCTCCATTTGTCCCTCTGTCTTGCCCCCAGATCTCAAAATCTTGAACTTTTTGGGCTATTTCAGCAGAAACTGGCATGTCTTGGAGGTCTAAGGTAGTAAATTCTAACCAGCTTAGTGAAAATAAGTAGCCAGGTAGAGGAGAGGGACCCAGATTAGTCCTTCCTCTGTGCAGATGGCAATGAGCACTCAACAGTAGTATTTGATAACCTCTCTTGTCTGCATGAGATTTTGGGTGTAAGCAAATCAGCCACAGAAAAACAAAAATAAAAAAATTGCCAGAGCCTTTACATTACTGAGTGTGGGATAATCATATGGCAAGACAGAAAACCAAATGACTTTACTCTTCACTGGAAGTTTAAGTGCTTTCCTCAGTCCCCTCATGACACTCTTTGAAATCTTGCATGTCTTAATTTATTGATTCCTGATTTCAGTGACTAGGGTGGAGCATCTTGGATCTGTTCTTGATTGGTTGTAATTTTAAATGAAGCTCATGTAGGGAAAACATTAATTCTCTGCAGCAAAAATAAGGTTTCCTTTTGGCCCTCTAAAGTATGTTAGCTCAGTTGGACAAATTGCCACTGATCACCTGTCTCTGGTTGCTCTGAACTCCCTTTACCTTTGGGGAAACTTTCATTGCAATTCGGGTGGCTTCCCTGATATACAGAAACTTAAATTCTCATTGGTATGCTGTTCCCTATACAGGGAAACATTTGTAAAAATATATATGCAATACTGTCTCTAAAATAAGAGCTATATGTTATTTTGTAATATGTTATTTTGTATAGAGGCACATATACCTTAATTTAGGAAAACACAATTTCTGTGTCTCAAACATAAATAGAAAATTGTGTGTGGATGGCTTACTCCTTTTTACTGAAAACGAACAATCTTACACAGCATTTGTATTCTACGTTTCTTCAGAGTTCAGTTAAATCTAAATAAAATTTTAGATGTTTGAATGTGATATTCCTTCCAGACATCATTAGTACAAGTAAAATTGATATAGCCTACAAGTCACTAACACTTGGGGTTTTGTTGATGATGTTTTTAAAACAGAATAGAATTTCTTATGAGAAGAAGAATCAATTGTCTGCATCTAAAGAAACTTTTGATAGAAATTTTGTGGACATTTTTCAGGAATCCAACCTGCTTTGTAGTTTATGCTGGTGAATAAGTGATGCATATCATGCTTTGGAAATTTCACAAAGATCCCACTCTCAGCTCTAATGTTTTGAACAGGTAGTACGACACTGTAAAAGTATGAAAATTTTCAAATGTTACTTTTCTTCAGCATAATTTACTCATTTGTGTAAAAGCCAACATCCTAGCTATGCCTAGCTTAGTGATGTGTGATAGTTTTTAGGCCCAGTTATATGTTTTAGCCACATCCTGACTTCATATGAAGGCAAAATAGAGTTGTGCATCAGTTCCTAATTATCTTATGCACTTTGGTTTCTGCCAGAAGAAAATCCAGGCACTTAGGCAAGAAAGAGGCAGGATTGGTCAGATCTCACTGGTGGCAGGAAAACCAGCTGTGCCTGTCACCCAGTCCAGATGTGGCCTCTGAGTCTGGCTGGAATGATGAGAAGTAGAAGGCAGTTCTCTGAAGGTAGTTTTGTATGTTTGTGCTTAGTACAGATTTAAGATTATTAATTCTAGTCTGTGGTTTTTTGTTTTTGTTTTTTTTTTATTCTCTCCCCATATGTGTCTAGATGACTGGAGTGAAAGGACAATCGGACACACCCTATGAGGGAAAGCCAGTAGCTATGGAAACAAAAGGCAATCCAGCTAAGCCTGTTAGAAATGAAGGTGTGGTTACAAAGAAGCTGAAGAATTACTGCAAACAAAGAATGATGAAGAAAAAGTGGAAAATTAAGTACAACAAAATGCAACTGAAGTAGGAATAGCTGAACCATGCTGTGATAAGCATGGCCTGGAGAAGGACAAGATGAAACAAAAAATCTGAGGCTTTCTTGCAGTTTCAAAGAAGCCAGAACAAGCTGGCAGCGGAAATGGCTCCATAACTGAAACATTCTGTAAACCTTTAACCCTTTCTTACCTCAGTGGACACATTTCAAGTGAAAATCTCAAATTCAGTCAGATTAAAAAGAGCAAATGTCTGCAGCTGAGGTTAGGAGACAAAAGTATCTTCTGTTGGTCTCGTGATTTTTGTAGAAAAACTAAGGCTTGAAGAATGAAGCTGCGGTCAACAGCAATATTTGATATCACATAACAACAAGAAAAAGAACTTTTCAGCTTTCTTAATTCTTCCAGAAGCACTACAGATTTTTATTCTGACATATTTTAGAATTGTATTTTACTTTATGTAATGTGCATAAGGGGAACAACTTGGATTTAATCACTTAATCATTTTAACGCACAGCGTCTACCAGTTTTTAAATTATATATAAAAATATTTTTTCTTTTTAGGATGGTGCAACAAATGAGGTTTGGGGAACAAAAGCTGTGTTTATTTGAATGGTACATGCCATAAATTTGCACTGGGAAACTTAGGAGTACAGCTAAACAGTTAAAATATATATATTTTTATCCTTCCCCAAAACAATTTCCAAAAATTGTTTGGATTCTGGCATGTCTTCAAAAATGAATCTTGCAGTTATTTACTGTATTACTCAATGGCTACAGTTATCTACTGTATTACTGAATGGCTACAGCCTAAATTCTCATATCAGATTGCACATTGATATGCAGTAGTGCTTACCTGAGGTATTAAGGTTTGCCTGGAGGAACAAGTGATAGGATCAAGGCCTTAGTCATTGTTCCAAAAACCCAACCAGACTATGCTGTACATAAGCAGTTTGCTTGAAATTTAGACCCAAACTGACACAGTGAAGTTAGGAAAAGAGAGTACTTGCTATCTATGAAAAGGCCAAGAAATGTGATGACATGCAGTTTTCTAGTCAATATGAGTTGTGTGGAAAAATTGAAGTTGTTTTGAATGTTGGTATATGAATGCATTGTATTCTGTGATGTGTTTGTAACTAACGTGATTGTGTGTGAGGGAAGATTTCTCTGCATTACAGCTATTTTATGGCACATACTTTCAGTGTTTCATCAAACAGAATTTCAACAGAAACAATCCTTGAAATTGAGGCTCAAAATTTATATTCTCTATCATCACTTTTGTTTTGTGTTTTCTGGATTTCTGTCGATATTTTCCTTTATTAAAAGTATTGTTTTTAGAAGAGTGTGTCAATTCTTGAAAGCTACAAGAATGAGTCCAATAAATTCTTTCCCATTTTTGCTTTTTAAACAACTCAACTATTTTAAAATGTCTGGGCCAATTTTTGTTTGGATGGTGTTCTGGAGAGCTGTTTGTGTGCATGCTTAAACTGCTAACACAAAAAACAAAGGCCTTAAAGATGTTCTTCCAAGTCTTTTGTTTGGACTAAGGAAGTTACCAAGTACACACATCTGATCAAGCATTCTTCTGCTCACTGGGGCTTGACATGACATGTTTTAATGTCATGAAAGTAAAAATAAAATATTTAAATTGTTTACTGGGGTATACCTGTTATAAAATCCTTAAGACAGTTTTGTTTGTTTTTTTTAAAGTAGGCATAAACAATGAATGTATATTAAAAACTATTCTTTGTGAAATACAAAGCATTTTCTGATCCTCCCCCCCCTCCCGTTAGATATATTTATAGTATTATTCCGTTTATTCTGGTTTTGGCCACTGCTGCTTTTAGTTGCAGTGATATGCTAGTGACAAGCTGAACTGGCATAGAGCTGTTTGCAAATTACAAGTAGTTCTGATTCGAAATCCTGAATGCACTTAGTGACCTCTCATAATAGGAATGTTTCAGCTGTGAGTCATTTTTGCCAGATAACTAACTCTGTGTGGGGATTCAAAGCGGTTTTCAGTTTGTATATATAAAAACTTTTGCCAGACTTGTATGGAGTTTAGTTTCTTGATGAAGTTTCATATGTTAGAAATGTATGGTCTATTTGCCCATATATCTATATGCCTTAAAAGGCTTGCATCTTTCTCTTAATAGTATACTATTATACTACACTAGTATATTACTAATAGTATACTAATTGTAGTTTCTTATGTGTTTCAAATATGTAGGGAATCTGGAGTTTGTGTACAACACACAAGATGACTTTTTAATTCACTGTTGCATTTTATTTGATCTCTTTTGGATTAAGTGGGACTGAAGTAATTGCTCTAAGATGAGTTAGTCATTTGAAAGACTTGTGTTTTGTTTATGTATCACGGGCGGGAGTGCCAGAGTATTCTCCATTTATATTTGCATCTAAAATAAAATTCTACTTAAAGGAGTTTGATAAGAGGAGAAGGGAAAAGGGATAGCATGTTTAGTACAGGCAGTAATATCTGAAATTTGAAACAAAGAAAATGTCTAAACAAAATAATTGGTAAAAAAGATTTCAGTAAAGCCAGAAAATGTGCTGTATATTAGTTGCTGGATTGCTGTTTCTATATAGGCTGCTCCTGAAGTGACAGTTACCTGTGGAGGAAAAAGAAGGAATACAGGGGAGCCTCACTGTTGTGATGCCACCAAAGTATAAATTCCTAAATGTAACACACGTTGTAAAGCTGTGGGAAGCAGGAAACTACAGCTGAAGGAGAGTGAATGGGCCTGGATCTTACTCTCCAGGTAATTGTTGCTCTATGGCTAACTAATGCTGATCTTTTTTATGGCCTCAACCCACCTAGTTTAGCAAAAATATTCCACAGATCTCAATCCTGTCCTGTAATTTCAGTCTTCTTCTCTGTGTTTGGAATGGATTGTGTGTGTTTATATTGCAATTTATATGGCTTTTTTTTAAATATAATTACTACTTTTTGTCACTATATTGTAAGAATATCTTTTACATATGCATTTGGAGTGTGTGGTTAGATGTAACTTAGCCAGTCTAAGAATCTTCTGGTTATATTTTTCCCTTGTTAGATTTTTTTTTTTCCTTTATGTAGGTTTACCTGGTTGTAAAGGGGGAAGTATGTGCTGTCCTGTCTTTCAGAACAGGAAGCTCTAACTGCTCCAGAATTGGTCAAACTGATTTCACAGGGATCTCTATTCAGTTCTCTCTTAGCTTTTCAGTGCGGATGTTTGTAGTCCAGCGCTAATGGAGCGGCCTGTCCTGCTGCTTGGGATTATTTCATTCTGGGTGCAGGACTTTATCTTTGCTAAGTCTCATGCAATTCTTGTTGGCCCAATCATGCTGTGTGTCCAAGTCTCTCTGAATAGTGGCTCATCTGTCTGCTCTTATCTGTGTCTTCTCCCCATTTGGTGTAATCTGCAAACTTGGTGAAAACTGATTCCATCGTGTTATCCAGATGACTTACAAGAATATTGAGTAGTATTGGAGCCAGTATCAACCCCTGGGAAGCTCTGTTCATGACCAACTCAACTGCTAGTTCAGCTTTGAGGCACTAACTACTTCACTAAAAGTGGAAGAAGCCCTCTGAGAACATAAGGTTTTCCATGCTGTATAAGATCACTGATACTGAGTCTGGTTCTCCCCATTCACTGCTGTTAGGATTAAATTGATAGCTTTGTGTCATATTCAGGCAGTTGTTTTGGAGGACTAGAGGGGGAATTCTTACCCGGCATTTGAGATTACTGGTTGACATACATGCAAAACCATGGAACTTTATCAGTCCTTCATATTAGCATGAATAACTGCAATGGGTTATTGGTTGTGAAATCTAACTTTTCTTTATTTCTGCAGTAATAAGTGTATTCAAACTTTATTTGCACTATGCACTAATGAATCACTTACAAACTGCTTTCATTCCCATATGTGACTAGCTAAACCTCTTCACCTCTGTTTGACTGCAAAACCTTTTAGGGATACAATAGACACTGTCTATGTAAAATATGTTAGGAATAGATTTACTCTGTTTTTTCTCTGTCTTCTAATGTAGCCTAGCAGCTGGAAGCACAGAAAACTGGGACCAAGTGACCAGACATCCATTCCTGTGCTGGCAGATGGGAGCTGCCAACAGCAAGTGACTGTCCAACCTCATGCAGTGATATTCAGTAGCAGACATTGAACCATTTGAAGAGGTACTTCTTTTGCTTCTGATTTGATTGCCCTGAATTTTAAATAGCAGCTTGTCTCCGAAAGAGTATAAAAATCAGCTTGGGTGTGATCTTTCAGAATGTTTAGTGCTGACCTCCATTTAAGATGCTTTTAGTTCTACTAGTAGAAGGAATTGGGGCATTTTCAGTCTCTCCCCCTGTCTTAAGTCTGACTGGATGTGTAACTTTCTCAGATGCTTCTCTGAGAAGTTACACAACTAAGCTCCTTGTTTCTTAACAAAATACAGCCTTTCTTACAAGTGTGGGTAGAGTCCTTCCCAGAAGCACTGTCATTGCTTGATATATTTCTCTGTGCTAAAAGTATGTTTGCTTTATTTTAATTGCTGTTAAACTGTATTTTTCTGCAGAGATTCTTAAATTTTGTTTGCAAGTTCAAATTCCATTACTCTGTGCCAAAATTATTATATGAAAATGTTTTCAAAGGTACATTGCTATATTATATATGCCAAATTAAATTTCCTTCTTAATGCCAGAAGACAACTTTGGTGGCCAGGTGACAGTCTGTTTAAACACAGAGCATTTGAATTACACCTTATCTTACTTGTAGGTGGAGGATTGTCATTGACAAAAAGCTGATCCCAGCCATTCTGAGCCTTATGAAAGTCTTCTGTAGATAATGTCAAGGCTGCTTTTACTTATGGCTGTCTTGACGGGCCATTGTCCTATACCTTGTAGAGGGATTTTGTTGTTGTTGTTTTTATGGAGCTGCAACAATAGACTGCCAATTTCTAAATTGTTTGTAGAATAATTTACTGTAATGATTGTTAAACAGTATCAGTCCTAGTGCAGACTTCAGAGCATTCCTCCATAAGGACACTTATCTCTTCTGTGGGGTAGGATGCTCACCCAGTGAGGAAGAAAAAAAAAAAAAA